AGAGGAGTATGTTAATGAAAATGAAGATTGAAACTAACTGTGTTAGGGAAACTGAACTGTTAAAAACCTGTCAAAAAAGTAGTGCTAATAATGAAGAGAAAAAAGTATGTGGGGACTAGGAAAGGATTTTTCATTATCTGATTCTGTCATTGGCTAACAGCTACTAAAGGACTGGTTCCCTGTGTTTACTGAACACATAAGCTACTCCATAAGATACCTCTGTGTAATGGGACGGAGCAAGAGAAAATCTTTCAGTGTAGGATTCAGAGCAGGTTCCTAATTTATGTTCCCTGGCCACCCCACAATGGAGTTAGTTTCTGCTGACTACAGTGGGTGCTCAGGGAGGCAAAATTCAGCAGAATCAGACTTTTGGACACCACCTTCTCCTCCTTCTGTCCCTCACTTAATATTAAATGTTGCAAGAGAAAGTTTTTGGTAGTTCCTTTCATGAATAGTCTTTTCGGTACCAGTACAGAGAGCCCATGCAGAAAGAAACATTTATAGATTCATCACAATATATTTAAATTGAATAAATATTGTTTTACATATCTAAATATGTAACTGGAAAGTTCCAGATGTGGAAGGGGGACTGACTTTGGTGACCTTGGAACCCTTAGCTCAGGAGGACAGATTCACAACAGGGGTCTAAGAATCAGAATGTACGTATCAGTGACAAAGTCTGCCTCTTCTTCACCATCAGAAGAGGTTTGCTCTACATGAAGAAAGCAATAAAGTTTTTTTTTTTTCTTTTTAAAGAAAAACATTAAATACTTCCCTCAGTTATCCACCTATGATAAGATTCAACTAACATGGTTTGTTCAGCTATGTTCTAGCCTTACCTATAGCTATTCCTCTGAGGAAAAGTCCTTACATATTTGTATCTTGATGACTTCTAGTATTTCACTTGTTTGAATAATCATGAAGCATTATGTAGAAGTAATGTCACACAATGGCATTATCAGCAAATGGAATTTTGTTCAACCTACCTGAACGTATTCTGTATTTCTGTTATTCGTATAAACACAGGTGATGTAGTCACACCCCTTAATGTAAACTAGCAAAAGTATGTTATGAAAAGGGAGAATGGGTAATACTACTCAAGGAATCTGGGTTCCATCACTGTCCCGTTGTGCTAAACAAATCTTATCTTCATATAAATGGCCCATCTCCTGCAGCAAAGACTGGAATTTTTCTGGAGTTTTTCATTATTTCTCTGAGTAAAATTGCTTTTAATGTCGATAAATAGAAGGAGAAGTCAAAAGTAGTGTGGTCTAGAGGAATGAGCAGAGCTCAAGCAGGCAGACCTGAATAAAATTCACCCTTCTGTGAAGGAGAAATCTGGAACACTTAAGTCACATTGAAATACCTGGTTAGGTCAGTGTGGGAGACTTGATGCCCAGGAGCTCTTTGTCTGGAGGTAAACTTCCTTTAAAAAGTAACATGCCCCTTTTAAGCAGGTACAATTACTGCAGTGTCAGTAAAAGCTTGTGGAGCACTTTGCAAATGAAAAGTGAAGTTAAGCGTTTGTAATCTAATTGAAAAGTCATGGATCTGCAATTTAGAAGAAGGGCAGGGCCAAGTGTCACTGCAGGTGGCTGGGATCACTTTGGAGTTCTACAGCTTTAAACACAAGTGTCACACTGTGTAGAGGGTGGGAAATGGCTCTTGCCTCTTACATTGAGGAAATCCTTTCCAGGGGATGCCACAGAAAATCACTGACTAACAATTAGGAATCATCTATTTCTGTGTCTGAAGATGTTTCCTGTATTTGTCCTGGCCGTCTGAATAAGAATTGCCTTGCCATGGTGTGTTTTTATATTACTATTTTGTGTTTTTTTGTGATTCTCTGATGTTAGATGTTTTCCTATGGTTTTCTGAGGGAGGAAACAGTGAGGTGTAGGGTGAACCCCGGACAGGAGGGAAGAGGAGGAAAGAATTATTTATTCACAGTTACACCACTTTAACTTGGTGTTTACTTAACAGTTGCAAAGACTTGTGTAACCATCTTTACTATGTCTTTGCTAGTAAGTAAAACAATCTTTGGACTTTCTGTTCTTGAGACCAACTGGCCTACTCTGGCTTGTGTCTGCAGCTGATGCCGCTCAGACATACATCACCATCCTTGGGACACTGTTTATGGGCAAAGCTATACCATGAACCACAATAACTGTTTAAAAGTATGGATGATCAGCTGCCACTGTCTGACTCCCTGCCTTAGCCCTGTTTCATTTACTGGTATAGATGGAGCTTACTCTGGCAAAAAAGTGATTTTTCTGGTTTACCTTCTATTGCTTGGGAAGAGGTTGTACTGAACTGTAATGCAGTGGCCAGAAAGGCAGCACTGACAGCTTTATTTACTGTTTTAAAAATGGATAGCAGACATGGTAGCTCAACTTGCCCTAATTAGAACTAGACTTCAGGTTTTGAATTAATGGGAGCTCACACACAAGACTTTAACTAAACAGACTGAAATGAAAAGAATGCAATAAATAAGTAAGATTAAGGAGAGATTTGAACATTGGAAAGATGGAAGTTATTTCCTTCAAGTCTCTGTAAGTAGCCTGAGTAAGGAGGGGGGGGAGGGGGGACTGTGTGTGAAAAATGATGAAGATAGAGCAACATGCTAAAAGCTGAAATGAGAGATAAGGGTACGTAGGAATGCAGAGACTTAAGCACACAAAAACTCAAGGACTTGAACTCAAGAAGGTAATGCTGAAAGCAGACACCTTGTGCTCTGTCCTGGGTTCAGCAGTAGCAGTCATTTTTCTCCTTCTTAGTAGCTGGTGCAGTGCTGTATTTTTGACTTTTCAGCCTGGTATGGAGGTATGGAATACTTCTTTGGCTAGTTTGGGTCAGGTGTCCTGTCTCTGCTTCCTCCCGGCATCCCCTCCTCCCTGGCAGAGCATGAGACTCACGAAGTCCTTGGTCAGAGTAAACATTACTGAGCAACAACTAAAAACATCAGTGTTATCAGCGTTGTTCTCAGGCTGAAAGTCAAAAACTCAGCACTGCAACAGCTACTAAGAAGGAGAAAAATGACTGCTACTGCTGAATCCAGGACATGCTCTTTGTAAGAAACATGGAAACATGTCACTGACCTAGTGACAGAAGAATTGTACCTCAAACCAGCATTGATCAAAATTATTATTGCATTTAAAAGGCTCAAATGGCTGTCCTTTACCTCAGATTATTTTTTCAGTTTTCAGTAAATGTTACTACAAAAGAGACATTTTCTTAAATAATCTGTGGTGGTTAAACCAGGTATGAAATAAAAACTATAGAAAGATGGTACTTACCTAACTGTCTAATCAGATAGATGCATGTAGGAAGGATTTTTGGCACTCCATTACATTTATGTGGGACTGTCTTTGCCTGGATGAGTGTTTGTTGTTCTCCTCTTCTAGCAACACTAACCCATATGGCATAGGTAGCATTCTGAAGCAGATAGCCTTATTTCACTTGCACTCATTTTATGATGGGCTCTCCCTAAGGTTTTATTTTCCTAGATAAAGCAAAGAGCTTTTCTCCTTAGAAGCTGTTCTGTTTTCCTCACAATGGATAAGGAAATATAGGAAAAGGGAATATAGTGCTCTTGTACTTACTGCTATTCATTTTAATGTTATTGTACCCACATAATTTAGTGAAGTAAGAGATTTTTCAAATCTATTTTACACAGACACTGAAATAATCTCAGGTAATTGCTCTGGAACTTTATTTACTCTAGCACAGATCAAAGAAATTGCATGGTGGTACTGTGGAAAATATTCATACTCATGCTCCTGCAGTATTATTACCAGAGCTGGCATCAAGTCATCTGAGGCCCCCTTGCGAACAAAGAAGAAGCACTTCACCCATACATCTCTGAAAATGTACTCATTCTATAGAACTATAGAATGGTTTGGGTTGGTAGGGACCTTAAAGCTCATCCAGTTCCAACCCCCTGCCATGGGCAGGGACACCTTCCACTAGACCAGGTTGCTCCAAGCCTCGTCCAACCTGGCCTTGAACACTGCCAGGGATGGGGCAGCCACAGCTTCTCTGGGGAATCTGTGCCTCACCACCCTCACAGGGAAGAACTTCATCCTAGTATCTAATGTAAGTGTATCCTACATAAGGTCTGCATGCTTTTCTGTTGAGTGCCTGGCAAGGAGGCAGGAATTATTATGGGCTCCCCTTTTATATTTGTACCCTTTGACGTGAAAGACTTTTAAACATTCAGGTAATAGAGAGTTTTTCTTGTCTGCACATAAACACTAGCAATGCAGTGGTGAAGAGCTGTAGGTGAGAGTGATGTGATGCTCATAAACGCCCCTGGGTTTTTAGCACTTGTGGGTCTCCAGCACCACGAATTTTTGAGCCCAGGGTTTAAACCCAGTGTCTGAAACGCTGGACAGAGCAGGTGTATGTGAGAACCGGGTGTGCCTCTGCAGGCGGCGCCGCGGGAGGCATGTCCAAGGTCAAGACTGCTGCAGGAACACGGGCGGGGAAGGGCTCCACGCTGCAGAAGAGGTGCGCATGATGTGTGCCCGGAGCCGGGGGTGCCGCAGCTAGGCTGGGTGCCGCCGCGGAGCTCCGGTGTGACCAGAATCGCTGCTGTGCCCAAGGGTCAGCCGTGAAGCTTTCCTCAGTAAGGCCGGCACTGGCTTTTGATCTCTTAACATCAGACGTGCAGCGGCCAGCGTTGTTTACAAGCAGAGAAAGGCAGGGCAGGGCAACGCTCCCCTCCCCTCCCCTGCCCTGCCCTCGGGGCCACGTCCAGGGAATATCAGAGCGCCCTAACCCCGAAAGCGACCTTCCCCCCTGTCACACGCATGGCCTCTCCCCGGCAGTCTTGACTCCTCCAGCTCCGCCAGCCCTGGCCGCCTCGGCCTTTACACCGCACGGACAGCGGGGCTGTCCACCCTGCCCGGCGGGGAAAGGGGGTGGAAGGGGAACCGAGAGGCGGGGAAGGGGCCGGCGCTGCAGTGGGGCAGGCGCTGTCTCCAGGCAGCGGGGCGGCTCCCTCCGCGTCGTGGCCCTGATAAAGGGGCCCCGCGGGCAGGTCGGGGGTGTCGGCCATGGCGTGGGGCTGCGCTCTGTGTGTGGCGCTCGCGGGCGGCGCGCTCCTGGTCCTGCTTGTGCAGGTGCTGCGCTGGCTGCGGGCTGATGGCGACCTCACTTTGCTGTGGGCCGAGTGGAGGGGCAAGAAGCCAGGTAAAGCCGCCCGCCGGCAACCGCCGGGAGCAGGGCTGTGGCCCTGGGTGGGGTGTGGTGGCGGGTCTGTGGCGACCCGTGAGGGAAGAGGGAATGGCGGCATGTGGGGAGGGGAGGAGAGGGGACCTCAGCGATGGCGATGAAGTCTCCTCAGGCTCGGTAGAACCAATCCTCAGCAGCTGGCCGGAGGCTCCTCGGTAGAAATAACCCCAAAGCATAGTTTTCTTGCCCTTATGCAGCCAGGTGTGTGGTGTTTATCATGCCAGTAAAGCAGTTCTAAAAGCAGCTTGAGAGAGTAGTGAGTTCCAGCAGTTTTATGGGAAGGGCTGGTTGGTTTGGCCAAAAAAGGCTTGTTTTGTACTGTTCCTGGGCAGATATCCAGTTCTGGCATGAGCATGCGGAGGAACTGAGGCTGCTTGGTTTGAGCACGTGACTGAGGGACAGTGTTGAAGGAAGGACTGATACGGGCGTGTAGTGATAATAGTAAGATACATTGCTTGCTGTATTGTGCATCTGCTGTTGGTAGCCACAGTCATAGTTACTGCATCTTGGGCTTACAACCAAGTGACCCTCTTAAAACAATAAGGAACTTATGGGCCCCTCCAGATTTTATGTTTGAGGGATCAAAGGATAACATCCAAAGTGACCATTCACTTGACTAATTTGACAAGAGAACTAACATTTTGAATTGTCCAATGGTGACCTGTCTTCATTATAATACTAAAAATCATGCCCACGGCTCAAAAAAACCCTGTCCCAGGTGGAGACCCTTCCCCTGAGCATGTGTAGGAACTAGAAATATCACACCAGTACTAAAATTATATGTAGATTACAAGCAATCACTGTAACTGGGATTGTACTACCTTTTGTAGTAGCTTTTGTGTGTAAGTGTACAGAAGAAAGCCAGCACTGGTGTGCTTGATTTGTGGAGCAGTCCACACTGGGGCCTGGATAAACAGTATCTCTCCTGAGCGTGTGGAATTGGTTTACTTCACGCTGGGCACAAATCTATTTTTTGGACAACAATAGGGTGAGGGGTAATGGCTTTAAATTGAAAGAGGATAGATTTAGATTACATGTAAGAAAGAAGCTCTTTACTGTGACGGTGGTGAGACACTGGCACAGGCTGCCCATAGAAGCTGTGGCTGCCCCATCCCTGCCAGTGTTCAAGGCCAGGTTGAATGGGGCTTTGAGCAGCCTGCTCTGGTGGAAGGTGACCCTGCCCATGGCAGTGGCATTGGAACTGGATGAGTTTAAGGTCCCTCCCAACCCAAACCATTCTGTGGTTCTGTAGTGCTGTAAACTGTAATTATGGAGAAAGGTCTTAATACAGGTTAGACTGGTTTTATTTCAATCATTCAATTCTAGAAGGAGTTTTCAGTTCTGGATTGTATCATTGGCAGGTGCTGTATAGCTTCCCATCTTCTAAATACTTGTGTGGACAGGAGACAAGGGTTTCTGGGTGCTGGGTAACTTTCCTTATGGGTTGTGTATTTCATTACCTGAACAGCAGTCACTCTAAATGGTGTGCTTTTCACAGGCAGAGTAATATTATCAAGACAAGGAGAATCCTTTTATCTGTGAAAGCCTACATATCTGAAAGCCAGCTCCTAAAGCTGGGAATAATGGTATGATTCTTTAGGCCTGTGGGGACGATGTTCTCCTTTAAACGTCCCCACCCCAAAGTTTTCTCATAAATGAAAAGGACATGGCAACCTTGTGCTATAGGAGCTATAAAATGTTGGGAAAGAACCCTAAATAGAGCTACAAAAGCATTTCCTGGTTTAGTTGCGGAACTACTCTGTTCAACCTCTTGTGTGCTATACCCTGTAACACAGTAGTTAATGGTTAGTATAATATGTTTTTATTTTTTAATTTGGCAAGGTTAATTTTTAAACTTATTTCCAGTAGCAACAGGACATTAATTGTGGAGCAAGCTGATGGTTTGATACTTGTTCTACATTGGCATTTGAGCTAGTTTTTCCATTATGTTAGCTCCCAGTAACTCAGTGCTTAGTAACTGTCAGTGCTGGGGAATCAGTGGAAAACTTTCCTTATCTCAGTTCATTATTCTGCCCACAGAACAAGATCCTGAATAACTGCAATGAAGCTGCCCAAGACAGGTTGGGAACAGTGAAACTAAGTGGTAGAGGGGAGTGGATTTGTTTTCAGTAGCAAGAGGAGGTAGATGAGTGTGGTAAGCAGGGTTCAAAGTATGTCCACGTAGCGTTTTGTTCACATCGTGTTTTGTCTACATGGGTTTTCTGCCAAAAAAAGTAACAGGAGAGGTGAGCCCTCATGTTTCTTGTGGTTAATTCGATGAATTTGTAATGTATTGGAATAAAGCTGTAGGAAAGAGTGTGTGAATAGGATTTACAGACAGCAGCTGCTTGGTATAATGAATAATACTGTGATCATTCCTACAACTTCAGCAACACCCCTTTCCACTTTGCAAGTTTGTAACCTTAGAATACATCTCTCGCTTAGACAGTGATTGTTGTTGCTGTTACTGTTTTTGGGAAAAAAAAACCCCAAACCATCAAAGCTTGGTTTTAGGAGGGGTTTTTCTGTGGCTAAAATACAGTCAGCTTAAAAAAAGATGAACAGTACTCACTGTCAGTCCCGCAGACTCCAGCTGAGCTGTGATAGTCTTAAGTGCTCTCTCCTCTTGTCAGAAGGGTAGAACATTTTGGTGCTGGTCTCTTCATGGGATTTGTGTCATTAAGAATCTGAAAGTAGAAATTTGAAACACACTGTGGTGTAGAGAGAACCCATTACTGAAGTAAAGCAGGAAGTAAAAGCACTTCCAGCCTGTGGCTGCAGTGAAAAAGGAGTACTTCTGCTAACTTAAAAGAGTGGGTAAATTTCAGTGAGCTGAAAAGTGCTGTTCTGGCCTTTTTTAAGAATAGAGCTGGCTTTAATTCTCAGGAACTGTATTTGGCTCTGCTGTTTGAATTATACCATGAAAACTTTCTTGGCATACCATTGTTGGAATGCTCTTCTCTACAGACTTGAAAAATAGAAGGAAGAGCTCCTGTCAGTGCTCTGATAACTTGAGTCAGATTTTCAGTAAAACTAGCATTCACTAATCTTGAACACATACAGGTGTTAGGCAATGATGTGTTCTGGAAAGTGCTCTGGTATCAGTGATCATTCATCATAGAGTCATCAAATGGTTTGGGTTGGAAGGGACATTAAGGATCATATAGTTCCAACTCTCCTGCCACAGACAGGAACACCTTCCACTAGACCAGGTTATCTAAAGCCCTGCTTTGAACACTTCCAGGAATGGGGCATCCACAAATCCTTAAATCATGCTCTAGAATTAAATGGGTGTTATTCAGGCATCTGTTGTATTTGATTATTTTGGATGTGTGTCTGGAAAGCTAAGCCTCTTCCCAGTCCCCAGGTGTATCAATAAGTGGGGAAGATTGCAAACAAGGGGAACAGGCATATAAGCAGAGGAGTAAAAGGAGTAATTTTTACTACCAGTTGAAAAAGCATGCCTGGGCAGATACTATGAGTACATGGAAAATTCACGCATGAGCTTACACCTTGGGAGCTCAGCGTACTGTACTCTGTCCAGTGCGAGAACTAACCTGCATCAGATACAAACCAAAGTGGATGAACACCCTTTTGGTTTGTTATGGTTGATTGTCTTTGTTCAGAGAGTTCTATTCTGTTGGCAATTACTTGGGAACATTTTTGAGGTAGAACATTGTTGCGAAAGGTTTGCATAGGCTTTTGTTTGGATTTGTGATACAGTAACTGTTTCCTGTCATTTTCAAGAATTCTCTTGTCCCTTTTCCTCTGAAGCTCTTCTTGATGAGGTTAGCGAAAATGCTGTGTGTGGATGGCTTGCAAAAATGCCGTGCTACTGTCAGGTCAATAAGCAGTGTTTATTCAGGTTAACCTTGGAACAAAGTTCAAGTGGCAACAGAACAGCTATGAACAATTTCACAAGTATGTTTGACCAAAGCATGAAGAAGTCAGGATTTTGTAATAGGCCCTCCAAACAACTATATTTCTTAAAAACATTATCAGATTATACCCTTGCAATGACTTTGTGTTTCTTCTAGCATTGGCAGTGTGTGAACTGTTGTCTTGATTATTTCAATAGAAAATGAACTGCGTGGAAAGGTTGTCTGGGTGACAGGAGCTTCGAGTGGAATAGGAGAAGAACTGGCTTACCAGCTATCAAAGATAGGAGCCTTGCTTGCCATCTCAGCAAGAAGAGAGGATGAGCTTGAAAGAGTGAAGAAGAAATGCCTTCGTAAGTACAGCTTACTGCTTCACGTGAGAAGTTTTGCTCTTGCTGTGATGAAGTTGCTGCAGAGTTACTAACCCACATATTGCAGGAATGAATTTTATGGTGAAAGTGAACTTTATACATAGCTTCACTGTACATATGAAGCTGGTGTTTTCTTTTTGTGAGTGAGAAGCCCTTGTATAGCCTTGCATTATGAGTTCCTTCATAAGCCAGTGTTAACTAAATATGATCATTTGCAAATGGTCTTGTAAGATACTAGATTAAGAAAAGGAATAAAAACTGTGGGGAATGGAGGAAACAGTCTCATGGATATCTTCCTATTAAGAGCCAAGCCATATGGCTGCATGCTGATAAGAAGTCTTCTTTCTTCAGGTTTGTGCCTGTTACAGGCAGACTGGCAACTGACTTTCCTTTTTGGAGAAGGAATTCATAGAAATGTTCAGAAAAAGTTGTTCTGAGCAAGTGCAAGAAAAGATCTCCTGAGGATCAAGAGGAACGAATGTAAAGCAGAATGTTAAACTGTTCCAGTTATCTTTCATGTGCCTACTGAGTCAGTAGGCTTTCCTTTCTCCTATCTCTTTTTCCTTTCGGTTTTTGTGCTCAACAGTGAAGGAGATAGTTAATTCATGCTGTTAAGCAGAGGTTTTGAATGTGATTAACATACCTTTATCAATCTGTTTATCCTCTGTAGCTCAGTATGCAGTGTTTTATACTGTATTATCACAGTTCATTCCTGGTAATGTTAATAGAATGTCCACAGTCTGCTTGGAATGTATGCTAATGAATAATGAAGTGTTTATCTTGGGTTAGCATCTCAGCATTTCTAGAAATCTAAAAGTTGGCATACTCCAAAAATCTGTCAGGGAGCTTTCAAAACCATGCAGCTCCTTAGTTCTGCTTTTTGATGCTTAAAAAGCTCACTCAAGTAGTTATCTATTATGTGGTTAAGTGGTAGTTTGTCAGGGCAAAATTCCAGTGCTATATGGTGCAATGTTTTGTGGTCAGTAGAAGTACGCAACTACATTTGTGCCTGTGGCTGGTTTTGACATTGCAAAAAAACACTAGGTAGGCTGGCAGGAGTCATAATTCTGGCTATGCATTTTCAGACAACACTTGTATGAGAGTGCGATGGGCTAAGGAATACTCAGAAATAGTATCTAAATACATGTGAACCAATTTATCAAAGATGATTTCTGCCTCTGCTGACTTTTAAGTGACCCTGTGAAATGTCTTAGCTATGGTATATACCGGCTTTACAGTCTTACATAGCCATGTGTTTTGCAAGTATATGCTACTGAACTGTAACTATAGGTCAGATTAGCTATATTGAAGCTCTTCAGTGACATAGTTATTCCACATTTTCTATAGCCATCCTTTAAGTAGTGGAAGGGAGTAATTGAGGCCACTTCCCCTCTTATCATTCTCAAGACTGTGTAAACCCAGCTTCAACACCTTTCTTTGATTATTGTGTGCCGTAGCCCCCTTAGCCATCTTAGTGGCCCCCTACGCTATCTCCAGTTTATCAGTATTTGTCTTGAGCCAGTGGTGTCTAAAATTGCGCACAATACTCTAGATGCAGTCTTAAAATGCTGTGTAGAGGCACTTAAAAATCACCTCCCTCAATCTGCTCTCGCTAGTGCAGCTGACTAACATCTGTAATTGCCAGAGCTAATTGCTGAATTACACTCGACTTGCTGTTGTCCTTCCATCTGGACATTACGTCTTGTCTGGAGAGCTGGTAGGTAGCCATTTGGGCGTTGGCCTGCAGTACTGCATAGCATTACTCTGTCCCAGGTGTGAAATTTTGGATTTGATGTACTGAGCTTAATGAGGTTTGTCAGACCGTTCTTGCAGCTTGTTAAAACACCCCTGAAATGACGGTCGTACCTTCTAGCACAGCAGCTGCTCCTTTGAACTTGATGTTAACTGAAAGTTTGAAAACCTGTGTTTTGTTCTATCATCTGGGTCATTAATCAAGACATTAAAAGATGCCGGTCATGGAGGGATACCACTGGCCACTAGTTAGACTTTGAATGGTTGGTTACTATTTTTTTTTTTCTCTGGTGATCCAGTCTGTTTTTCACTGGCATTGTAATCCACTCGCCTAGAACCGTGATATTTCCCCAGTATAGCTTCCAGGATGCTGTGGAAGACAACATAGGAAGCCTCTTAGTCAAGGTGAAGAACCTCCATTGCTCTCCTATTGTCCTCAGAGCCAGTCATCACATAAAGCAGTTAAGTTGGTCAGGCATTATATGTTCATGCTAAATCTATGCTGGCTTTTCCCATTCACCTTCTTGTCCTTCATGTACTTGGAAATTGCTTTCAGGAGGAACTGTCACATAATTTTGCCAAGGACTGAGGTTAGGCTGCGTGATGGCTGTGTGAGACTTGGTTTTCTCCAGTTAATGAGGAGCTACTTGACTTACCAAGTACCTTCCAAAGATGAGTGACATTGGTCAGCTCTTTTGAATCTTGGATGTGTATATTGCCCTGCTTGTATGTGCAGTTTGTCCCTAACTTGGTCTTTCTCTGACACTGGTAGTATTTCTTTTTCCCAGAGTGCAGGAGACGTGAGAAGAGATCTTGCCAGTGAAGACTAAGGCAAAGAAGAGAATGAGTACCTTGTGTTTTTCTGTGCCCTTTGTCACTTCCTCACCATCCTATTCAGCAGTGACCTCCCTCTCCTTTCTTCCTTTTGTTGGTGCTGTACCTATAAGTCCTTGTTGCCTTTCACATTCCTCACCAGTTTCAACTCTGAGAATTGATCTTCTTGATCCCATCCCTGCATGTTTGGGTAGTGGGTCCATGTGCTTCCTGGGTGGCTTGTGTCTGCTTCCACCTGCGTGTTTTGTTTTTGCAACTGAGTTCAGGAGTATTCTGTAAGGTTTGAGTAGTGCAGGATGGATTAAGATTGAGCTGCAGCATGTAACATCAATTTGAATTTGGCTGAATTATAGGGCATAATTTGAGCTAATGGGCTTTAACATGCCTGCTGTAGATGCTGTACACAGCAGCAATTTAACTAGGGAATTTTTGTATTAATGTCAGAAACTAGCACAAATATCTTGGTCCAAATTTAGAGACACCACCCTGTGATACATGTTTACGCATTCTGCGCTGCTTAAAAGCTAAATGAGAGAGAGAGAAGGAATGTACCATAAAAGCTATGGTAATACCTGTTGAGTCATGCATATGCCAACTTAACACCTCATTGCACTTCTGCAGGAGGGAGAGAAAACAGCTTGTGTAGCTTGCATGGTTCCTGCAGGTGGCTTCTCTGTTTCCCCCAACCCCTCTCTGAAGCATGAGTTGAATTTCACCAGTAATGTTGGAGGCTGTTTTCTCTCAAAAGCCCTAAAAAGTAAAAAAGTAGGTGGGGGAGGTGTTCCTTGGTTTGACAAAGCTCAAATAGGATTTAAATATGGATAGGCCCAATGTAAATTGTGGAATTACATAGTAATTGAGGTTGGAATGGACCTCAGGAGGTTATGTTGTTTAACCTCTGCTAAAAGCTCATGATCTATTAAAGGGCATTATACAAGATAGAAATAAAAGGTAGAAAAAGAAGTGCTGAAGAGCTGGAAAATAAAGGCCCTATGCTAAGTAATACCAATCATGTTACAAGAAACTGCTAACTTGGATTAGCATGTGTGTTGTTAATCTGCAAGCCTCTAGGGGATCCTGGGGGAAGGAGGTGTATGCTTGGTGTTGTAACAAAATACTATTCTAAGTCAACATTACTTATGCAGGTTTTGAAAAACAAGTTGGCTTTGGGTGATTATAATCATGTTTTAATTAAAAAGTAACTAGAACTTAATGGACCATAAGCAGGGAAGAGGCAGCCCTTAATTGCTTTAATAGGAGAATATCAGAAGGTCTGCTGCTTGGTGGCTGGGCAGTTTGATCCCAACCAGAAGCCATGTAGTGTAGAACTGCTATGTAAGGAGACTTTAAAGGACCTCCAGAAAACATAAAGCTGTTTCACAGCTAAGTGAAGGTGGCCATTGTTCTGGGTAGACTGAGCTTTGAGAGCTCAGTTTCAAGTATGTTGCACCTGAGAGCTGGTGGCTGTGTGAAACTGACACTGCAGCTGAAACACATAGCTAAAGGGTGTTTGCTGAAGTATGTTAGCATTTGTGTAAAATGATGAACTATAAGGTCTGGAAGCAAGTGTTTTTCTGGGTTATTGTAATTGATCCCTTAAAAACATTGGTTTGGTAACAGGCAGAAAAGGAAATGGAATACTAGGGGTAAAAGGAAAGGAGAAGATAATTTTGACGATGTATAAATTGGAACATGCATATTCCTTCAACACTGTGCACAGTTCAGGTCATCTGCCAGATTAAAAACAGGATGAGTGGACAGTACAAGTATAGAAAAAGGATAACAAGAATGTCAGAATTTTTGTAAAAGCTGCCTGTGAGGAATGACTAGAGCAAAGATTCCTCACCCTAGACAAGAACTACGGAAAGTGATAGAGATGTACAAGTCTGAGTGTGTTGGGGATGGAAGTCATATTGGACTGCGGATTGCTCCAAAAGAAGAACTGTTCTTCTGGTTTGATATTTCTGGAAGTTTCCTACATCATGTAAAAGAGCATTTCATTCCTTATCAGCAGTCTCTGTCTCTTCCTTTGCTCTTTTCTCCCCTGCCTGTATAATTTTATTGGCTGAGTTGATTATATGGTCTTGTTAATCCACAGCAGAAACATGCCTTATGTTAGTAGATTTAACTGTGCAGATCTGCTTGAGATAGCATGAAGTAGAGTTGTGTCTCTCAGAGAGGAGGTTAAACTACATGGATTTTAGTGGTGTATTTCTAGAAGAAATTGAGGGGAAGATGGACATAGAATGGTTGGAGGGAGCAGTAAGTGGAAATACTGGCAGCTTTAAACCAGACAGATGGTTTTATTTTAACTAATAGCCTAAATACTAATAACCTTTGAACAGAAGCAACTTAACAGATTTAACTGACTTCCTTATTTGTACATAACTGTAAAGATAAAGTTCAACCTTACCTGTGTATGTGAGAAGTAGTCATCAAAAAGTCAGAGCCCTTGGCTCATGAAGGAGGGCAGTTGGTTAAAGGGGAGTAGGTACACTTTAGTTGTGGACAGGAGTCAATTCAGAAACAAAAGTAGCACCATCAAGCTAACATAAAAAAAGTAGGAAAAAAAGAATCCTGTTAAATGTAGCTTAAAAAAACCCTGAAAAGATAAACCTTAAAGATTTTATTTTTGTGAGTCATCTGCCCCAAAACGCCAGGGTCACACATCATTGCTTAGGAAATATTTTCAGTGGAAAAGGTCAGTTGTTCTGAAGGGACAGTGGTAAAACTGCTCAACATGGAGGCTTGCTGACAGCTGACTTTTATTTCAGGAGATGGATATATTGAAAGCTGTCAGTTAAACAAAACCCTTTTCCTTCTACCTCCTCCAGTAACTCTTCAACAGTCTAACTTCTCTGGACTCTGCCTCATAGCTACTCATACACATGCTTGACCAGCTAACATACAAGCTAAGTGCCAAGGTTGCCAGTACATCATGCTTCTGAACGTCTCAGTGAAAAATTTCAGTTACATGTTGTTCCCAAAAATTGTAATTTATTTGGGGAATTGAGTGAAAAGCTACACAAGGTCAAACTTTTCAGAAGCAAAAACATAATGGTGAGAAACAAGACTTGTTAGGAACAGATTAAAAATGAATTCTATGTGGAGATCAAAATGAAAACAAAGCAAGTATTTCATTTCCAACTCAATGTTATGGCTTCTTGGTTTTTTTTTAGTGAAAATTTAGTGTTTAAAAGCACATTACATTTCCCACAGTTGTTACATTAATAGTCTTACTGGTTCCCATTTACTTTCTTTGTTTTTAGAGATTAGCAGCTTGGATGAAAAAGATATCCTTGTTCTGCGTCTTGACTTGACTGATAGAAGCTCTCATGAAGCTGCAACCAACAGTGTTCTTAAGCATTTTGGCAAGGTAGGGTGTGCTTTTGGGGTTAAACTTTTTTTTTTCCCTATGCCCTATACTTGCATTTATGTTCATGTTTCACTTCTGTCATATGGTAAATTCACTTGCCAAAAAGTACCTGAATTTTCATCCCTTCTGTTGCTTGTTTATAGGTTTCAACAGGCTTTGCAGAGGTGCAGCAATGAACAAATAATAACTGGTCATTGCCGAGAACTAAAAACTTGATGTCACTGAATTTCTGGGCCAACTGGAGCAATTTAGAGCTTAAAATTGTGTTTGGAAGTCAGAACATTTATTTTGTGATTTCAATAAGGCATGTAATTTGGGCTTAGAACCATGTGGAACAAAACTGGTTGTCAGGCACAACTGTTTGCCTTCTTTGGTGCAGAGTTTTCTTGCTTGCTAGTCCAGAGTGCAGAGTTAAGGCAGTAGCAGTCAGATCTAGCCAGTATTAAAAAAAAAAAAATGTACAAAACTTCAAGCTAAAGCCTTTAGATCACTTGATTTTACTGTGAAATTAGTGGCACCAGATTTGTTTCTTCTGTTCTTTACTTTAGTTGGTTTCTGCTTTTGCATGAAACTTTTCAGAGGTCACCTTGCAGGATCCAAATGTTAAATGTTATTTGCTGCAGTGCAGTAAGGTTAAAAAGATGTTGTGTGGAAAACAAATTTTCAGCTGCCAGTATTCTTGTACTAGGAATTAACCTTGTTTGGCATCAAACACTGTATTCCTGGTGTGTTGACTCACTCAAAATGAGCCAGCCTTCAATTCAAAGGGGGTATCTAGTCGGGGAGGGGGTGAGGAGGGGAGCAACTGCTGAAACTTCTTCAGCAGCTGATGCCTCTTATTGGTGTACGGTAGAGATGACACCAGAGGGAAGGGAACAGCCACTTAACAATTGCTTGAGAAAGCACAGGTATTAAAGGAGATGTGTTCTCTTAACTTATCATTGTATCTTTCCTGAGATTGATGTTTTGGTCAACAACGGTGGACGTTCCCAGCGCTCCTTGTTTGTGGATACAAACCTGGATGTCTATAGTGCCATAATAGAGCTCAACTACCTGGGTACAATCTCTTTAACAAAACATGTCCTGAATCACATGATCCAAAGGAAAAAAGGAAAGATTGTTACTGTGAGCAGTGTGATGGGTATCATGGGAGCTCCCCTTGCCTCTGGGTACTGTGCCAGCAAGCATGCTCTGCAGGTAAGTTAAATTTCTGAGGTTAACTAAATCTTGTGTAATAGACCAACATAGGTCAGTGCCATAGCAAAGGACTTCATTCTGCAGAGAGAACAGAAGTGTCACCTGTAATTGCACACAGCATTATGTAATTTCTTCAGGTTTTGAAAGTTGTTTGGAATTTATTTGTGCTGAAGTGTGAAATATGTCTGCTCCCAGTGTAAATTTATTTTACTAACTAAAATTCAAATGTCATCTTAGTTGGGCTTAACCACTACATAGTTAAATACCGATGAGAAACCCAAGACCTTAGCCTCTGGCTTTCAGATGAATACCTAAATCTGTGGATTATTCTGTTGCATCTAGAAACCCTAATGTTCTCATCTTAATTCAGTTGGTGAGAGTTTTAAGACTACTGGCAGTCTTTAGGACAGTAAAGCGAGAATGGTGAGTGGTAAAGCAGACTATTCAGAGATTAGAATTCCTGATCTGGTGGGGAACATCTGAATGAGTCTTCCCAACAGTTCTGAATCTTGCTGTGGTGTGAAGGACCAGCAGCGCATTGCCGCTTAGGGAGTTAATCCTGTGCATAACGCTTAACTTTCAGTACTGCTTGGAGAGAGTTTTTGACAGGAGCCTCACTTGTGCAGAAAAACATTGAAGAGCTCAAAAAAGTGTCTGGGGAAAAAGACTGCCTGCATCACAGAGGAATTGCTTATTTAAACAGCAGATTTGTTCACATGGGTGTCTTTCATCACTGTTTGATTTCTGGCTTATGTATGTTTTGATCTCAGTAAAATAAACTCTCGCTGTGCTCAGGTTTGAAAAAACAGCACTTTTTTACTTCCTGCTGGGTTTAAGCACATAATCTGAGTAAATAACATTGCTTAAGCTATGGGATCAATGGCCTTTGATGGTTTGTCTAACAGCAATAAAAATGTAACAACTGGCTGACACTGCAAAGCCACCAGTCACTTGGAAGAATGAAGAAGTAAAAGACAGTGACAGGTATCTGCTAATAAACAATTTTCAGTTAGTGATGGGGAGAGAGATCTGCTGCTCTACATTTGAGTGCCAGTGGTGAAATTGCCCATTAGAGGCCAACTTTTGGGTTAAGTCTAGTAGAAGTATGAATTCCCCTTATGCTCCTTTATTATGTGTTCTTCCGGTTGAATTATCTTTTGCGTGTGGTGGGGCTGGTTTAAGCATGGCTCATCAGTTGCAGAGCACAAGGAATTCACACGTTGCTGTAAAAAAAACCTAAAACAACTCGGAACTCTGTTGTTAGGGTGGAAAATATGGGCAAAGCTTTAACGGGAGAGTTTCTGGCTTAATTAAAATAAGCTAACTGAACTGCTTTTTGTTAGCTTCTACCCCTGCTCAGTAACCAGGCCAGACCCCAAGCTTCCTTTCTTGTTTTTCTTTCAGAGCAGCTCTGTTGTACAGAGTTGCAGGTGTTAAAACGTGATTTGCAAAGTAGATTTCAGAGAGGCTCTGTCCGAGAGTCTCTGGTCAGTCTGGAGTCATGGCTGATGTGGGCGTGGAACCCCCAAAAACTAGAAAGGCTTTTTTTTTTAAACCTCAAACTTCACCAGTAAATTCAGGGAAGGGAAATCTGTCGGAATGGGAGGCCTCTCCAGAAGCTCAATGCTCAGCTCTGACAATGACCAAGGAGAAATGTCGAGAGAGAGGGTAGGGGAAAGATGTGACAAAGCATAAAGTGATGCTTTTCCTGTTGCTTTTTCCCAGCAAGGGTCAGCCCATATTCTAAGATCTTACTGAAATGAAGATTGCATTTTGGCCACCAATTATTAAATATGCAAGCCTATCTGACATGAATTCCACTATTATGGTTTTGGGGTTTCTTTTAATTCATGCCTTGGAGTTCACCACAGCCAACACAGTTACTGCTGCAGTCTTATACAATCTTAATCATGCCTTTTATGAAAAAAGTCCCTTCTTTCTTCCTTTTGTTTGGCTTTGGTTGTGGTTTTTGGGTGTTGTTTAATTTCTTTTAAAGGGCAGTTGGAGGAGGAAGGAAGGAATTCTTTTAAGAATTAAAGTTTGTTCTTGATACAATTGTGCTTTGATTCATGCCAACTGGAATTCTTGATGACAATGTTCTATTGATGAAATTACCCTTTGTTTCGGTTCTGGGAGTGCCGTAAGAACATGAGTTGAGGCCATGGGAGTCTGCATGTGACTGGTGCAGCTTCTCTCCTGGTGTGATGATGCTCATGGAGATCATGTGCCATTCATCTAGTTGCAATTCATGTAATTGGAGGCATGTGGGGTGGATCAGAAATGGTGGCCTTCAAAATACTCCTTAATCACGAACTTGTCTAATAAGCACATGGACTGCCCTGAGCAGCAGCCACTACTCTGTTTTCTGGTCATTAGGGAATCGTTTCTGAATGTTTCTGTCACGGTAGAAGTTGGCTCAGCCTTACTGCCTTTAGCATCTCCTAGGATTTGGTCACAAAGCCAGAAAGGCCCAGCGGAAGGAGGAGCATGCAGACCTCTTGAAATGGTGTGTTGGGGGGAATATCAGGATGGCCACAGAGCAGAAATGGGAGCTTGCTGTGATCTCTAGCTACATGCATTCCATGTTTGCTGGCTTTGCACCCCTTTAATAAAATTGCACTGACTTTTGACAGTGCAACTCAAATGGCACTCTGAAAAAAGCCTCAGCAGCCCTGTGTGCTCCAGCTGTTGTGAAGGTGATTTCCAGAGATAACATAAGCTCACTGAACCAATGCTCAGTTTTTGGTACCTTGCAACTTGCTCAGGTGAGCAGGGCTCCCCTTGGAATACTGGGAGAGGGTGTGTGCTGCAGCCAGTGCCTTCTGCAGGAGGGTGTCTGAGGTTGCCTGCATCACTGTGTGCCTCTGGTGGCTACTCAGGGCTGCAGGCAGGTGTCTGTTCTTAGGTAGAACTTGGATCCCAGAAGCCTGCCAGCATGTGAGGTAATGTAGTGCTTTGTCACAAGTGACCAAGTGATGTTTCTGGCTTCCTTTTCTATCACAGCATTCCCAGACATAAAACCTTTCAACTCCTGGAAGCAGAATCATAGAGTAGTTAGGGTTGGAAAGGACCTTAAGATCATCTGGTTCCAACCCCCTGCCATGGGCATGGACATCTCACATTAAACCATGTCACCCAAGGCTCTGTCCAACCTGGCCTTGAACACCACCAGGGATGGAGCATTCATAACCTCCCTGGGCAACCCATTCCAGTGCCTCACCACCCTTACAGTAAGGAACTTTCTTATATCCAATCTAAACTTCCCCTGTTTCAGTTTTAACCCGTTACACCTTGTCCCATCACTACAGTCCCTAATGAAGTAGTCCCTCCCCAACATCCTTGTAAGCCCCCTTCAGGTACTGGAACAAGTACATCTTGTGTTTGTGTTCTTCAGGTAAAATGGGACTCAGTTCTGTTCCTCATCACCCTAAATCCACAGGGTGTGACAAGGGATTGTGGGCCGTGGAGCTCTCACTCAGTCCTCATTAACTAACTATTGCCTAAAGGAGGGAGGACAGCTGCATAGGCCACTGTTCAGGCTGTTCTTCTAGGAGAGCCTGGGCTTCCCATCAGTGCTGGGTGAGGAGGATATAAAGCACTTGTGAACAAGGAGCAGCACCACGTCCTCCCCTTGCCCATGTGGCCATGCTCGTGACACAAGCTGCCTCCCTCTCCCCTTTGGGGTCTGGTGTCTTTACACTTGTTATGTCCTCCTCAGAGGACTGGTGCAGTCCTGTCACAGAAGTTGTGCTGTGACTTGAGAGCTAAGGGGGCTTCCCTGAGATAAGTGGGCTCAGGACCCCTCAGGGAATGAAGGGGATGTGGGTAGTGCAGGTCAGGGCTGTAGTATTAGCCTGGAGACGGGAATAGAGCCCAGCGTATTGGTGGCATGTCTGAAGGTGTGCACCAGGACTGGAGGAAGCTCCTTTCTTTCAGTGTAGGAGGCAATCTAGGGGAGGGCCTGGGTTTTTAATTCAAAACAGCTGGGTGGTTGGCAGATCTCCCATGCTTTCCCGTGTGTCCAGAAGCAGACTCCTGGTCATATGTATCTTAATGTTAGCATTCAATCCTCTGGAATTTGTGCATATCTAGGCTTTGATAACATGCTGTGAAGGTCTGATACCATAGAGTCAGGGCCTGCAGGTACTTTTAACTTTAAATACACACTGTAAAGAAGCTGACCACGTATGCAGTCTGTAAGCTAGAATTAGTCCCCAGCAACTGGGAAATTAGGACCTGTGTTCTTGGTTATACGTGTGCACCAGTGTGCAACTTGGAGCCTGGCTTTAGTGTGTAGCTCCAGATGATGACTTGTGTGTCAGCACAGGAGTGTTTCTGGCTGATATTAGCCCTGTGTTGCAATTTCTGAAGGGCTCTGGGTCAGCCAGCCCTCTTCCTGAGCTGTATGGGAGTACAGATTGCACATTTTTAGCACAGTGGGAGAGGTTCATCAGCCTGTGCTCACTCTCTTATGATAAAAAAACGTGTTAGAATAAAGAGGGAAATGTTATTACCCAGGTCAAAGATAAGACACAGTATGGTATTTGCTGAATCGTATCTCTGCAGTGCTTGACCAGCAACTTTGGTAGGAAGCACCTTCCTGAACTGGTCACATTCCCTATAATAGTTGCTGTCTAAATGTGAACTTCTACAGAGATTAAAAAAACTTTTATCCTGTTAGTTTAAAGGAAAGAAATACTTGCAGCTTTTGTAATTATAGTTTAACCTAGATATGCTGGTAGCATATTCCTGAGCTGAAATAAGATTTATAACTGCATGAATGCAAATTTCAAACTCTGCAGTGTGTTCAGCAGTGTAGAGTTACCTCCTAAAAATAATCAGGATGCATCTTTGACTTAATATGCTGAAGTTTTCCTTCTCTTACATGGAACCAGTGCCACTTACTCAATAGAAACAATTGAAAATAGAAACACCACAAAGAGCAATTCACCTGCAAAAGGTAATTTCCACAATATTGTAGTTCTTGAAGCTGGTGGCGCTTCCACTGCCAAGGCTGTCAGGGTTGGCCTCGGTACAGGGACAGCAGCATCTGGCTGTAGTTCAGAGAAACTACTGTGTATTTGAGAGGTTGGCGACACATATCGATGTCTGTAATTGCAGATATTAGCCACTGAATGTGAAAAGCCAAAGAAAGTAGTAGGAATTGCTTTTAATGGAATACCATTACCTTTTCAGCATAGAGTCACTGTGTAAATATATAGTCAGTTAAACCTTGCTACGTGTGGCAGTATGGCAGAGGTGTATTACATCCTAGTCTTTTCTCCTAGGGCTTCTTTAATTCTCTTCGGACCGAGCTGACTGACTACCCAGAGATCAGTATTATCAACATATGCCCAGGGCCTGTACAGTCCAAGATTATACAAAATGTCTTTACGGAGAATCTTGCAAAGGTAAGGGCCCAGTTCTGTTTGAGATGAACATGACTTTTGCTGCAGGATCAGTGATCCTTTGTTGTGGTTTAAGCCCAGCCGGCAACACAGGACCACACAGCCGCTCGCTCACTCTCCCCACTTCCTCCCCCTGCTCCTGGAGGGATGAGGAGGAGAATCGAAAGAATGTAACTCCCATGGGTTGAGATAAGAACAGTGCAGTAACTAAGGTATAACACAAATCACTGCTGCTGCCACCAATAATAATAATAATGATAAGGGAAACATCAAGGGAAGAGAATACAACCGCTCACCACCCACCAACCAATACCCAACCTAACCCAAGCAGTGATCTAGCTCCTCTGGGTAACTGCCCCCAGTTTATATAGTGGGCACGACGTGCTGTGGTATGGAATACCTCTTTGGCTAGCCTGGGTCAGGTGTCCTGTCTCTGCTTCCTCCCGGCATCCCCTCCTCCCTGGCAGAGCATGAGACTCACAAAGTCCTTGGTCAGAGTAAACATTACTGAGCAACAACTAAAAACATCGGTGTTATCAGTGCTGTTCCCAGGCTGAAAGTCAAAAACACAGCACTCCAACAGCTACTAAGAAGGAGAAAAATGACTGCTACTGCTGAACCCAGGACATCCTGCCATGGTTTTCTTTATCTCCTCCTAGCATACACTGACCTCACCTTCTTACCGAGAAATGCTTTGGTCAGTGCAGAGCTGTATATGGTTTTGTAGTTATTCATGGTATCAAGTCCATATCAAATGAAAATAAAGTCTGAGAACTGTTCTGCCTTCTCTTTCAACACACACAGTCCTAGTCTGGTAAAAATTGCCATACTACTGCTGTTCAGTGGAAAAAGCCAGGATTTTCTAGACACAGTTCTGCATGCAGAATACTGCCCTTCCTGCCCAGGTGGCTTTTTGTTTGCCCTTTTCCTGACAATGCCCTACTCGGTTGACGCTGCTGTTGGCAAAGCCACTGCAGTCAGCTGGGGCAAGGCATGCATTCCTTTCCTTTTAGTTATTGTTCAGGGAGAAAAAGCAAAACCTTCCAACTGCACAGTTGCTTTTAATAAGCAATTTAATTTTTTGCCTAACAAAATAGCTGGCAAAAAATGGCTACTGTGATACATAAAAATGTAATCTGTCTTAAGTGCAGTCAATTTAAAGCTTGGGATAACCCACCAGTGAGGGGAGTAGGGGTGGGGGAATCTCCTATGGTTGAATTGAGTTCTGAAAGGATTTTTTGGCTTGCAAAACTTTATACATCTGTGAAAGACAAGATGTACTTTTTGAGCAGTCTGGAAAGCTTGCAAAACAAATTCCTCAGATTTCAGCATGGCAAAAGCCCTAGGAGGAAGACCAAATCTAGATGAGAATTGCTTTTGCTCTGGGAAACAGAAGAATAGATTGCTAGAGCAGTCTGTTATTACTCGAGTGACATGTACATGAATTCACATGGCTATGGCTTAAGTCCACCAAGTGATGTGCATGCACAGGACTTCAAGACACCCCTGTCACTGAATAAGCCTGTTGCTTTGCTTTTGTTTGAGGTTGCTGCCTGCACAGCAGAGCTGGCAGGAATATTTAAGATAATGGGGAACATGGTCTCACCTGCTAACCCAGTTACTCAGCAACTTGTAGCATATAATGGAAACTAGAGCATAGTGAGGGCTGGGTTCCCCAGAGCCAGTCTCTGCTGTACTGGCTGGATTATTCTACTTGTGCCAAGTGAAGAAGCTGGGAGGAGCGTGACTGTGGCATTTAGCTCAGCCCTTCCTTTCCCTCTGTTGCTCACAGAGATCCAGATCTAATCCCTCCTTGCTCTCTCCCCTCCAGTCCATAGAGAACAGTGGTGATCAGTCCCACAAGATGCCGACTGACCGCTGTGTCCGGCTCACCCTGGTGAGCACAGCCAACGACCTGAAGGAGGCTTGGATCAGCGACCACCCCTACCTGGCTGTTTGCTACCTCTGGCAGTATGCACCCACTTGGGCCTGGTGGCTGATGAACAGAATGGGCAAGAGGAGGATACAGAACTTCAAGAGTGGAATTGTAGGTTTATTCCTCTCCTCTCCTTGCTTATTTGCCTTTTTTACTCTGCTGATAGACTCTTTAGTCATGGGAATATTGGGATTGTATTTTGGATCAGTTTCTCTCTTCATTCCTCACTTCCCCAGCAACTGGTGCCAGGCCAGACTCCATTGCCACATGCCTGCTTGTCTAGAGTTACTGCAGCATGGGCAGCACACATCCAAGTCAGAACATCTTGCTCTGATCTTCCTCACATGCGCTGCATGTTCAGAGCTCACCGTTAATGCAGAGCTGAGCTATAAGGCACTAGGATAAATTATTGAATGCAACTTGGATTTAAGACCGTTGAAAACACCTCCCTGGTTGTAGCTATTTTTTATATCAGGCATGTAATCTGAGCACCTCCCAGGAGTATGTTAAGTGATACCCCTGTCTATTGGGGCTCTTCACTCACATTTTCCTCCCTGAAGATGGATGTTTGTTCTTTCGGAACAGAATTGGTATTTTTTCCTACTGTGATTTAGTTGAACTTGGTACAAAACCCCATGTTCAAGTACTTCAGAAGCAGGAAATACAAAAATAAGGGTGGCACATGCAGCTTAAGACTTCCTGCTTCCACACTGTAACTGCCCACTGTCACAAGCCATTTCAAGCAAAATAACATTCTGGGTGAGGGACGTAAATGCTGAAGCAAGCAGGGTGGGAAATACTGACTGGATGTACTCTCACTCTAGGATGCCGATGCCTCTTATTCAAGAAAGAAGAAGTAAGGAGAAGCTTGTACAAAACCCTGTTGCTCTTCTGATAAGGTGGAGAAACTGTTTTCATGTTGTGTGACTGGAAACAGCAGCTTTTTTTATCTGTTGTACCTTTGTCATCATGTAAGCAGACAAATCTATCAAGCTGTATACACACTTGGCTAAATAAAAGTCTTTTAAAACATACCTGTTTCATGTTAAACTACCACAGGGTGAGGTTTTAAGCTTATAAGAACAGAAGCAGAAGAGGCAGTTTTTCTGCTATTATGACATTGGCAAACTTACTGTGCAGGCTAAAAATTCTATGCCCACAGGATCCAGTTTCTGTCACTGGACAGAGAGGAATGAAAAAACAGCCCACACGTAGAACAACAGGTGAGGATGTGCAGTGTGTATCTGAAGTGTTCCTTTGGGAAAGGGAGATTGTGTTTCCTCTTTGCTGAGAGCAAAATGCATATTTAGGGCTAAATCCCTTAACTTCTGCCACAACATTTACCTCTGGGTATCAGCACCACTGCAGTGTCCACATGTATGTTGGACGTGTGTGTTAGACAGCAACAGCCAGGAGGAACTGAGGACTCCGCTTTTAAAAGATTTACCATCCCACTGCCACCCAGTTCAGCTGTCAGCAGGGAATACCTCTTGTAATGGTAACTCACCTGTAGCTGCAAGCTTGGTGATCTTGCTGCTGACAGTGTCCTCTGAGGTATGTTTGGACATGCCTCAGGCCACACACTGTCCAAGTAAGAAAAATTCTTACTTCTATCATTGATAATAAAACAACAACAGCCCGTTTAGAAGTTGTTGACACTTTCCAACTACAGCAAAGAGTAAGCCAAAAGTGATGTTTTCAGTGTGACACTCGACAAAGATGGAAACAACTGTCTAGGGACAAAACTAAAGACTAATGAAGTGACAAGGATCTGGTCCCACCTCCTTCTGGGAAAGAGGAAGGTTCAATTCACATGCTGTTGTCTGTGGAACATGCTAAAGAGGCAGTAGCAAGTCTGCATGACAAAGTGCAGTGACTTTAAATACAACACACATGCTTTTGTCTCCATGCCCTAATCCACAGAAGATGTGGCAGCACTGCACCCTACAGATGGCTTGTTTGCAGTTTACATCCAGGTTTTTCTGCTTTTCCGTTCCCAAACAGCATGAGTCTTTGTGCCCAGAGAGGAGCTCTGGTGCTCCTGGAGCTAGGTGCTGCTGGACACGTTGAGCGGAGACCTGCTGTCATGGACCATGCTGTGGCCACCACCAGCCTGAGAACAGAGATTACGGAAAGCAGGGGATGACAAAATTACCTGTTGGAGAGGAAGCTGATGTTCAAGGAAAATGCCAAAAGCAGAAACTACAAAAAGAACAAAAGCATTTGCTATTTGCAGATGTCATCTCCCTAACACTTCATGCCGCTAAACTGATTCCTGTTGCTTTATGGTACACAACTGGGACAAAGGCAGTCTCCAGTACTTCATGTTTTTGGTAAAGGCATAAAAAAAGGGGGTGAAAATCCTCCAGTCAGGATTTAAAGCTCTTTAAAACTGGTTCTCCAAAGGCATGATGTTGTCTCCTCCTTACCTTTGTGTGATAAACACTGCAACCTGTAAAGCAAGTAGATGTCCATGAGAATTAAGTAAAGCTGATGCACATACCTCATTAGAAAACAGCAGTTCTCAGTGGTTACATGGGAGAATGGTGGGGTGGGCTGTTGCCAGCTTGGTCCTAGCACTAGTACTGCGCTGGTAATCTGAAGTGCAGCACATATGAGAGACAAGGCCACGTTTGAAGATGCTCTAAATTCCTGATAAATCAAATAAATGTTCCAGAACAAAGCAGAAACAGTTCAAGAACACACAAACAAAACAGCATGTTTAACAGGGGCACTTGGTTGCATGTATCTGTGATACAGAATAAGAGGCTGTAACTTGTGTTTCTGCCAAAATAAAGAATCTGAAGAGGGTTCCAGAAAATCATAATGTCAGTCGGGGTCATACTGTTGCAAAACACACTGGAACACGCAAACTGGACATGCTGCCTGTGACAGCAGGGGCCAGGATGTTATGCTGCACTGGAGCCTGATGCCACATTCCTGTGCACAGACAGGAATTCTGCACATTTCTAAGTCTGTTCCTCCATCTGGTACCAACCAGGATCTCTGCTGGAACACCAGGGCTGGTTACCAGCAATGCTCTTCAAGTAGTTCGGGTACCAGATGGAGAGAACCAGAGGAAAACGAGGAAAGGATCACAGCACACTCCAGTTTTTTCTCAATTAGTTTATTCAGTTTACAGAAGAGAAAGAATGAAGGTTGAAATACAGCTACCTTCAAATGAAAGGCTGCTGCTGCAAAGAAAAAAAGGTAGTAAAATTTTCTGTGACCATACAGAAGACAAGTAGTAAGAGGCTTACAAAGAGCCAGGGAGGTTAAATTAGATTTAGGAAAAACCCAACTGCTGTAAGAACAGCAGCAAAGAAGTGGAGTGAACTACTTGACAAGTTCATGATACTCCTGGTATTGGAAGTTCTAAATCCAATTATACATTTCCCAGGAGTAGCTCCTTTTGAGTGGGAGATGAAATGAGAGCTTTCTAAAAGCCCTTCCAGATCAGCTTCCATGAGTCTCTATTTCTAGACAGAGCTCATGGCCAAGCAAGGTGATTTTAGGTTACCAGTGCTTTCTTATTTACACTCCTGTATGCCAGACAATCACATTCTAAAAGCTGCTTACACTAATGTTTGGTGTGGGTTTCATCCTGTACCTCAGAGTGCTATACCATGGAGTTGGACAGGGGTTTCTTCACCACCTCTGAAGTCCACTGCACCATCTGCATGTTTTAAAAAAATCATTTGTGGTTACTGATCTAAAGAGCAGCAAACAGCTGAGTACACAGTCCTGTGACAAATGTTACCTGATACAAAAACGTCTTAAAGGTGAGGAGTAGAAGTCATAAACATGCTCCAGATAATACAATGCTGGGTGTTCTAAATCAGTACTAGTTCAGTTATGGAGCAGATCTGATTTATATTGATTCTACAGGTTAAAGACAGACAACAACCTACATCCCAGGCAGCACATGCAGCAGTAATTATGCTGTAACTACCAATCTATGGAGAAAACACTTATGTGCTAATGACTGGTGGTAACAAACAGGATAAATGAGCCACTGGAGAGATGACCCAGACCTGTTTTCAAGGAGCCCTGTAATGTTACAAACCAACTGCCAAATGATGTTTTAACCTGTGGTAAGGTTAAAAAACTAAATTACTTCTGGCACGGACAGCTGCATTTCCATCCTGCCCCCCATTATCAAATTCTCTTAGTGTTTGTGGAAGACAGGTTAGTGCTGTGGACACAGGCTGCAAACAACATATACACCCACCCACACACCACACATATATATATATATATATAAAATATATGGATATTGGAAGAAGAGATAAAGTTAATGCATTTGGCCTTAAATTCCTTCCCTCCCCTAATTATATGTTTACTTCATCAGTAGGTCACACAGGTTAACACAGCGTGCATTCCAACACATTAATATATAAATTCTCTTTGCCCCCAAAACAAGTACTTTGGTACAAATCGTCCTTCACAACTCACTTTGTTAAAGCACAGAGATAACTTACTGCAGCCAAGGAAGATCAGCTGAAGTCATATATTATAACAAATGCTAAAACTGAACTCAGTACAAAATGGCAAGAATAAAAAAAACGATCGTATAAATAGTTGTATGTACACCTTGGTTATCAGCTCTGCGGTTGATGGTACTATGATGAGCTGTAACCTGACTGTCAGTGCAAGTCACCTGTCTTGAGAAGAAGAAATAAAAATAACACCAGAATGCACCAAAAATAGTTAATGATCAGAATCATGCTGCTCTTCTCTAAACTGGAGAAGAGAATTTTAGCATCTCCTGCCTCATCAGCCACACAGGCAATGGTGTCTCACATATTCAGCAGCCAGAAAACTACTCGAAATTCCCTGCCTGCCGAAGGTCCTGGCTAGCACCACTTCTGTGCAAATCATGTACACTGGCTTGGCACTGCCACCCAGCGCCACTGCAAGAGCAGTGTATAGATGTTACACAAACACTGGATTCCTAACATGCAGATGGCAAATACAAAATAGCAATTAAAAAAGAAAGTGCTACTAACATTCTAGAACAAAGGTAGATGCAGAAGTTCAGAGGAATACACGGGGTAGCCAAGAGGTGGGTCTGCAGCTTGCACAGTCAGGTTTCGAAGGAGGACAGGGTGTGCTTGGATGCTGTAGCGTTCTTCATCATCGTTTGTAGCATACAGCAGCTCCCAGGACAGATTTGCCCACTGACCTCGGACAGCTTCATCATTAAGTTTTCCCACTTGTACTAACAGCTCCTGAAGCGTGAGGACTCGCCCAGTGTAAATTCCCTGTAAGAACAAACAGATCAAAACATTCAGCACTCAGTACATTCTCCAAGCATTTTGGTTCCAAAGCACTAAATGAAGCTTTAGGGCTACATACTATGAATATCATCCCTTTAAAAATGGCAAAGTAAACCAGTCTCCTTCAGTTCTTCTGCCTAGAAAGATAATCAGGAAATATAGCTGCATCTGAAGAACAAAGTGGTGTGAACTTTCAACAGCAGTGATATGAACTCCTCTCCAGTATGAACTTGAACTTCTTTGTGCAGCCTTCGTGTCTTGGAACACACAAGAAAAAAACACAAAAGTGGTGGAAAAAGAAATCCCGAACTCTGACCTTGCTTACTAGTAATTTTTTTGCTTACCATGTTTGGGTCATGCCCCAGTGAAAAAAGGTATGGCTTTTCCTGAAGAACTGCCTGCTGCCACTCCAGATCTGATACCAGTCCAATGTACCAATCGTTCTCATATTCTTCCAGATAGTTAACCAGCTCTTTGAAGTTCTCAATCGGACCCAGGCTTGCTTTGTCAACCATCAGCTTAAAAGTGTATCTGGAAGGTACCGGAAGTCATACAGTAAGTAGCACAGCAGAAGACAGGAGGAAGAAAGCCTCTTAAGGCTACAGTGGGTGGAGAGGGACCATCGAATGTTACCAAGCACTAGCGACTTTGTCAGTTACTGCTTGTCAGCTGAGTCACTGGAACTTGGTACAGGTATGCTTTTAGCTGACCCAGATGTAAAACACATTAAGCTTAAACATCTTTCATTCACCTCA